GGTTTTGCATTTTTAGTTTTGAGTTCGTTTGTTGTCTTTAGGTATATAGATATATCGTGAATTATTTTAAAATTAATATTAGGGTCGCATTAGATGAAAGATGATTGATTTTTTGTTTGTTACGATTTAACTCAAAAACTACTCAACCAATTTTACCGAAAGCTACATCTCCTCGGAGTAACATAGGCTATTTTATATTTGCCCGTGCGAAGCCGGGGCGGGTTGCTAGTTATATTTATAATAAGAATGGTAATACCAAAAGATCTACTAAGTAGATCTGGTTCCACATTTTTTTTTACAATATAAAAATAGTCACGGATGTTGTTATTCAATTTATTTGTTCTGTAGGCAAAACAACTATCTAAAATTAAATGGACCCCTGAGTTTGGAAATCGATATTAATAAAACGTAGGGACGATAAAATGAAATTTGGACCATATATAGCCTCACTATTACTCTATTGTGTGCTAAAATTTCAGTTAGTTTCGTTATTCCATTTTTTAGTTATTAATGAGAATGTTGAAAAAACACGGTTTTCTGCCTACAAAATTGACACCTCTTATTTTAACTCATCGTAATTTTTTTGTTAATCTAAAAAAAAATCTAGATTTTTACTGACGATAAGTGGAACTATTGTCTTTATAGGCGGAAATTCACATACCAGTAAAATAGGTAAGTAACTTGCATGCTAAGAAATGGCATATGCCGGCGGATGGCACACTGCTGATACATTTGCAAGTAAAATGGAATGCCAGTCGGTAGCAAGTAGACACGTACCGGCATGCCACTTGAATTCCGCCGAAACCCCCCGCCTCACATTGCATGCCAAAAAATCAAATGATGTGCAATTTACTTGCGCGCCTTCTACAGGCATGCCTTTTAATAAATACACATACCAGGAGCTATCTTCTGCAAGCTACTTGCATGCTATTGTGCAAGCAAGAGGCATGTGTTTTTCCACCTTAATAAAGTACTGTGAAGATCATTTGTCTCAAAAGGTCTTCTTTTTTTATTTTTAAGCAAAACAGAAGAGAGTGCTATCTCCGTAAATATTGCGTTCTTTAAAAAAAGAAAAAAACTGACACAGGTAGTAAATAACTGTAAACAACAATTTGAAAAAAATTGTAAAAGTAATGCAGTTATAAATATGATATCCTTAAAAACAGGATCGGAATGATCAATTACGTTCACGGTCGGATCGAGGAGTGCGAGGTAAAAGGTTCGCTGCAGTGGCGTGGCTGACAGTTTTGATGTGATTTCCCGAGCTCGCTCCGACAACCGACAGCGACGGGACGATTTCTGTTTTTTTTTTACCTTCAAAGAAACCTAATGTACTTCAAGAGTAATGGTTTGTTGAAGTAAATAAAAAAAGCATTTTGTAAAATTATCATTGTCAAAAACAGCATTATCTAACCGTACTTTCAAATATTTATTTACTAAGAAATTATTTATGTAATTTGAAGACGTGACAATTCGAAACAGAAAATGAAACGTAGGGATCAGAAAGAGGTCTTTTGTCAGGCTTACAATATTTATTATGTGTTACTTTGAAAATATCGTTTTTGTTACGAAAAATAATATATCTTAAAAAATCAAGAAAACTTTCATGGTAGGTATGTTATTTATATATTTTGTATTGTATAATACGTACTGAATTTAAAAAAATACAAAGATTACTCCAAAGTAACCTATACATAGTCAACATTATTAAGGGCTATAAAGGTATATTTTACAAGCATACATCGGTGTCTTTTATCATCATCAGCCAATTCCTCGTCATCATCTGTATCTTCATCATCATATTCACATTTACTACTAAAGGATCTATAGCGACATCTACTAAATGTCCTTTTTTCCTGGATTCCTGTTCCACGTTTTTAGCATGTCAAATATTTCCCAAAGTTTTGCGATACATTTCAAACCGTTCAAATCGCAATGGAAAATATTATTTATACATAAATAACATTAATGTGCCACTTATTGCTCAATAACAATTTTGAAAACGTGTTTTCTGGGGATTATCCAAGAATATTTTTTTACGGTAACACAACACTAAACCAGATAGATTAAAAATAGGATTACCAAATTCCTAATATTTGCGAAGAATTTTATCAGGTAGCCAATAAAAATGAAAATGAAACAAGCCAAAAAATTATTCTGCAAATAAAATATTTCAGCCACCACGGCTTGCTACAACACGTCTTCCACATGCCGTCGGCATGCCGCGCACCCCCGCTATGGGGACGACTGGATAACTAATAAATGCAAAGTATATAAAATAGTACAGCCTTTATAACTATTATTTTTACAATTTTTTTCAGATTGTTGTTTACAGTTATTTACTAACTGTCAGTTTTTTCTTTTTTTTTTTAAAGAACGCAATATTTACGGAGATAGCACTCTCTTCTGTTTTGCTTAAAAATAAAAAAGAAGAGCTTTTGAGACAAATGACCTTCACAGTACTAAAGACAATAGTTCGACTTATCGTCAGTAAAAATTTGGAGAATTTTTTTATACATTAACAAAAATATTACGACGAGTTAAAATGAGGGGTGTCAATTTTGTAGGTAGAAAACCGTGATTTTTTCATCATTTTCATAAATAACTAAAAAGTGGAATAACGAAACTAACTGAAATTTTAGTAATAGTGAGGCCAAATTTCAAATTTTATCGCTCCTACGTTTTCTTAATATCGATTTCCAAACTCAGGGGTTTATTTCGATAGTAGAATGTTTTTCTCATATCATTAAAAGATCTTTTTTTATATCTTCTAAATATTCGATTCATTTTTCGATGCGTCCCAAAATCTTAAAAAGTTACATTCGAAAATGGAAATTTTTGCAGTAATTTAAAAAACAAATTTATGTAAGAGAATACTTTTTTAAGTTCAGTACATGCTAAGACAACAGATTCTTGGGGTCAAAAACTGAAAGTTTTTAAACAAATTTTGTATATAAGTATCAGTTTTGATGGATACGGAAAATAGTAGCAATTCTTCTTATGCCATTTCTTCATTTTCGCCATATAACAGATCTTGATGGAGTAATTTGTTTAAAAAGTTATTCAAAATATTTCATTTCATTTGTGGCACATTTTTACATGTTTCAAAAAATTTTAGAATTTATTGGTCAAGTGGCCAACTTTCAAAATAAAAACCAACCGTGAGAGTAGAAAACTATTAAACATGATAGACTCATAAATTGTCCCACATTAAAACACCACTTAATAAATGTTGACCTATTTCTTAAATAAAAACAAAAGGCAAATATGAAAATAATATAACTAAAATTGGCACTACTAAATACATACTAAAAGCCACTAAAAGTTCTTAAAAATGGTAATTTTATTATCCTTAAATATTAATCAATTTATTGAAGTTAAGAAATTTGTGTGTAATATAATTTGGTTAATTTCTTGGACAACCCATCGTATCAAATATTGTAAAAAAAACTGTGATTTTGTATATATACAGGATGATTCAGTAATAATGTCATTAATTTTAATCTAGTATTAGGAAGGCCTAATAAAGACAGAAAATCGAAAAAAATCACCTCGTGTATTGTCTACCAAGTATTCAAAAATTACTGAACACGATTACCACGTAATGTCTGTGCTTGCTTGATCATTGAAAACCTTAAAGGCAACACCGTTTATCTTACCTACGACATTATTCAGGTTACTATCCGAATTCCAAAGACACAGCGGCCTTATATACTTAGTAAATTCCACACTTTCAGTAAGCACCAACACAGCAATGTCTGCGTCACTGGAATTAGATTCATAATCGGGATGGACGTGGATGGATTCTGGTTCGATCATCTTCTCCCCATGCATGGGCACCCATTTTCGTAGGTTCAGTTTTCCAAGTATTATCAACAGTTCCTGTGGCTTGTATTTCTTGGTTTCCGTTTTAACGCAATGTGCGGCTAAAATATTAATTTGTTCTCATTTGATTCATAAGTATTACCCATCGAAGTCTTACCTGTAACTACGTGCTTGTCAGAAATGAGAGACCCGCTGCACATGTAGTTCAGACCGGTCGCTTTGACACCAAACATCGCAACCAACCAAGGATACGCCCCTCTTAGTACTGCATTACCGTTTATAACCAAAGAATTCGTGACTACGGTTCGTCCACAGACGCTATCGTAGGGGTTAATTGACGAACTTTGACCTTCTGTGAACAAATCGGTGTTAACGAATGGGTTTTGCATTTGATTACACAAGTACAAGAAAAAATGAGAGATAATCTGCCAAGAAAAATGCTGTATCACCCTTCAGTTCTTTTATGAATTACCAAAAACTGCTCCTAAAACCTCATTGCATATTTCGGGATTTCAAAGAATCAATCGACTCTTCTGCTTCGAGTAAATACCATCAACTTAAATTCCTAACCCATGGACACTGTACACGGAATCCACTCCATCCGAAGAAATCAGACTTTGCAGCACTTGATAGATACTAGAAAGCTTCTACTCGTCCAAGATCCATTTGGTGGTTCCCTTTGAATACGGTCCTAATAAGGAGTCTATCTGCAGTCATGGTGTACCTGAAATCTCTGACGGCAGTTGCGACGGAGTCAAGAAACGACTCAGTCATAAAACTACACATGAACGCTGCAATAAATACCGAGTAATTGCTGTTAGATTAAGAAGTGATGAACAGGAATGAAAAGAAAAATGAGAAGAAATCCTCATAGATCGACAGAAGGTAAAAGATAGCGAAACAAAAGGAAAAATACTTTTAGGTGTTGCTTTTTGGTGCTAACCAGAAGCTGAAATGTTGATTGAGTCTTTGAATCACTAAGCATGTAAACGAGTCCTATGAATATGTGTGTCAAGTCGTCCCCAAGAAGAAACCTGCTAAATGCAGAATTTTTGTTGCTTTTAGGTTTTAGAAGTGGTTATTGACAATTTAGAAAAAAAAACAGGAGGGTGATGGAACATTTTTCTTAACAGATCCGGTTTCTGTGTGTCCAAATACATTAACCCAATAAATAGTTACAACTAGCTACATTTGTAGCACCATTTTATGTGCTACTTAAGGTTACCAACTTTTAGATAATTAATCATAACAAAAACAAAGCACCAAGCTTGATAGAATTATAACTTAGGATTAACATAACTGCAATAATAAGTGTAATAATGTGACACATATTTCATTATTGTATACCAATAAGAATCAGTCATACCATCTCGCATTTCTTGGTCAACTTAATCAAATTATCAAAGTGCAATATCACATCCGTGTTCCAATATAATTTGGTCAGCTTCTTAATCAGTTTATTGGGTCAAAAATTGGTAAATGCAAAACAAATTTTGTTTGACAGAGAATTTTTCGGAAAAAGCAAAGAACTTACCTTTTTCATTGTTAGACTGGGAAGTGTCTGTTCTTTCAACGAGCATGGGTTTTTCTGTGACTCTCACTTCAATCGCTGGGGTTGTTTGTGGAGGGGCTACGAGAAAAATTGTAATAAATAACAATAATAATGGGGAGGCGGGGGTGAATTATAATTCTGTTTTTATTGTGATTTGCTGGTATTTTAAACATTTGTTATGAAATTGCAATTGCCAAAAAGAAACTATCTGACATCGAGAATTTTTGATAGGTGGACCGTTCTACTTGATTCTCATAAAAAGCACTGTTCATAAGCAAGAATAAAAAACTATGAGCTTTGTCAACATTGGACCGTAGATGAATATTAATATAGTATAAAAATTTTAAAAAATTCACTTTTATTTATTTATTTAGTTTCATTGCCCAACAGATTATTCCTATTACAGGACAATATTACTACACTAGAGTATATAAATAACAAAGATGGATAAGTATACAACACAAGACATAATTAAATGTACGTATAAAAATATAACATCATGTTACAATGCAAAGAATAAAAGCAATTAACTACACAGATATAAAACACTTACGGCTACTGCAAATCTATGCAATATGACACTTAACATCGAAACTAATATCACATGTACCAGAAATCATATTAAAGTTATGCAAGTTATAATAAATATAAAAAGGTGATTGAATCAATAAATCTGAATTAAAATATGGCAAGTGAAAATTACCAGGTTTAACTGGTGTACATACATTGTAAATAGGTGACCATATTATACTGCAATATTCCAGTTTAGATCTAACATAGGAGAAATAAAGTGTTTTAAGGGTTTTAGCATTATTAAAGGTATTATAGTTTCTGATGATAAATTGAAGCATTTTATTTGCTGACGACTTCTTATCGAGGTGACCCCTAAGTCTTTAATGATTTCACATCGCTGTAAAATGCTTGAATTAAACGTATAATAAAAATACACAAATGTTTGTTTCCTCGTATAGGTCATAAAGTTACACTTTGATACATTCATGCTGGGACCCTAAAGATTAATTCTATTCAACTGATTCTGGATGTTAATACAGTCAGATACGGTGTCAATTTTAAAGTAAACTTTAAGATTATCAGCAAGCATCAAATTGTGACAATCAACAATAGAACACAAGTCATTTATAAAGAGCAAAAACAGAAGTGGACCCAGATTAGAGCCCTGTGGTACTCCCGACACTGCCAAAAAATCACTAGATCTATAACTGTTGTAAGCAATATATTGAACCCTATTACTCCAATAAGAAATAAAAATTTTTTGCAGAGGTGCACTAAATCCAAATGCATTTATTTAGCAAAATTGTATGATCAATGAGGTCAAATGCCTTTAAAAAAGTCTGTATAAGCCACATCTGACCATACTGATCGATAACAGATAAATACTGCGTAATACTTAAAAGGTTTGTGGTAGTAAATCTCCTTTTCATAAATCCATGCTGATATGACGAAATGCAGTTAGATACGGAAGGATATATTAGATTATACAATGACTTTTCAAATACTTTAGCAAAGTTGTCCAATATAGTAAAAGGGCGATAATTTGTTACCAATGCCGGATCCCCAGATTTCAAAATAGGACAGACCTTACCCACTTTCCACAGCTCAGGAAACGTAGCAGTTTTTAAGCACAAGTTAAATAATATTAATAACGGATATACAAATATGTGTTTGCAATCTTTTATTAAATAACTAGGTATTTGATCACTCCCAAAGGTTGCTTTGTTGTTTAAACTGTAGATAACAATATATTTGTAACTGAAAAAGTGTTAACCGTTTTTTCAGGAAAATCATTCAATGGAATGTCCGGGGTACGTTACAACCGTTTGTATAAACACTATATTAAAATATCTACAAAGCGCCTCAACAATTGTCTCAGGTTTATCATATACAGGGTGTCCCAGAATAACGTGTAGAACGGAAGAGTCGTTGTACCCAGACCGCTCATTTAATCAAAATTCTACAAGAGGCTCAAAAACTTGTAAAAAAGGATATCGGGGAGCCTGTGGATGCAGAAAGGCTGGACTAAAGTGCTCCGTTATCTGCGCGAATTGCAATGGTAGGTACCTGCGACAATTCGGATGTTGATCTACAAGACAGTGATGCAGAGGAAGATACGGAGACAGTTCTTCAGCAAACCTTCGACGAAATCGAGGAAGAAGGTGATGAAGTCGAAGAAGAGAACCCTATCATGGATAATTTAGAAGAACTTCCTATCCGTGAGGTTTTGTTCATATCTGAAGACGAAGAACTCGCAAAACCTGATCCATCAGGGATAGCGAAGCGAAGGAGAATGCACTAAATTTAGTTAACAGTGCATCGCATGTGGATTAGGCCTACTGGGGATATCACTAAAAAAAACGCGCCCGGAACTCTACCTCACGGTGGTGTGGAAATGAGTTTGTTGGCCAATATGCATGTTGGAGTAGACTTTGCGGCGCTCGTACGCCGAAACTATTCATTTCACAGAAAAAAGGTTGATACATAAATTATAGGAAATGATTTCTAGTCCAATTTATTACATAACTATTTTCACTGTAAAGTGAGTCGGAAAGGAAATATCATTGAAAAACTGTTTTGAAGCGCCATTTTTCCAATATGGCGGCTACTTCCGGAAAAAAAAGAGGTGGCAAAGTAAAAATTCGGAAAGAGCACTTCAAAATCTATAAATATACCAATTTTCAAAACTCCTCTAAAACTTCACAGGCAAAACTTCCAACTGATTGGACTAATTAGCAACCGTGATCTGGACATCATTCAAGTACGACTTATATGCCATATTAATTTGTTGCTTTACCTGTTACCTGTTATCTGGTCTAATTAAATTTATTAGGTATAGTAGAAGTTATTATTGTATTTCCTAAATTTAACTGAAAACTGTTGAAAAGTAAACGTAATTTGAATTTCCAGTCAGTTGTATTTAAGAACAGCTGATTTTAATTTAGTAGGTATCGGGTGTCCCAAAACTCAGGAAGATTTGAATTTTGTGCCGGTTGTGCGGTAAAGATGGTTTCGTTAATCCACAAAATTGTCACACTTGAGGTTCAGAAATTCCATGAGTGATTGTTGAGAAACAAATGCATGCACAACGTGTTGGACTTTTTTCTTTAGGGTTTTTTTTTGAAGTCTAAGGTTTATGCCACAAAGTCCATGACAACCCACACCTTAAAACAGGAAATTGAGCGCTTTATCGACGAAATTCAGCCGCATTTATGAAAAACGGTCATGGAAAACTTCGACAAAAGAATGTGTACGTGCCAGCAAAGGCGTGCAGGCTATTTACTATACATGCTCTTCCATATACATGGCCCTACACTGTATACTTTATGAATCAATAAAAAAATTTCTACTTTTTAATTAAAAACCTGTTTTCTATCAAAATTATATCTTGCGTGAATTTTGGAAGAGGAGACTCTTTTTTTGTTATTAACACCATGTACTTTTTTCTTATTTTTGTCTGCCTTTCTACAGGGTGATCGAGAATGATTGACCGTGCCGCCTCATACTGATTTTTGATGTGCGGCATACCAGTTTTTGATACCAATACTAGAATCATGAGCGCAGGTTGAGGGATTTTAATGGTAAACAAATAATTACGTTCAAACGTCAAATAAATTAGGTTACTGTCAAAATGGAAATTCATAATAAAAATATCAATTATTTAACAAAAATCAAAGTTATTTCACAAATTAAGCAATACTGATGGACCAATAAATGTTATTATTGTTATTATTATTAAAGAGGATGACAGAATCAAATGTAGGTTTAGCCTAACTTTTCCAAAATTCTTATTTCATTTACAATTAGAAAAACTTTTAAATCAAAGTTTGATGTAGCTAATTTTGAATAACGACTGTAAGTGCTTCAGCGATTTTATTTTTAAAACGTTATGAGTTAATTTTAAAACAGAAGCACTATTGTGGCTACATTCTTGGCATCTAAGACGATTCAGCTATACAGCGATACGCTGCAAGCTGCTGTTTTTCATCAAAGCAAACTGCTGTATGCTTATAAGACGACTATTTTGCAGCTACTGCTTTCACACTTCTGAATATCCAGCGCAAGCGATCCAGCCCAAAAATTTATGCTGAACATTTTAGTTAGCTGTCGAAATTCAGGAAAAGTGTCTTAAAAAAATTTGCTTCAAGCAAATGCAAGCAGTTGGAAGTGCTTGATTATGTTAGATGGTAGGATTGTCTGTATGACCGAGAGCAATAAACAACAGTTACATGCAATATATAATAACAGAGTAATTGGAATTTTTTCACATTTTATTGAATATTTTACCTTAAAATTACATAAAATCCATAAAAATATCTATATTTTTACAATAAATGTTCAATATGATGTCCATTGTTGTTCAAGCAGGTATTAATTCTTCTTTTCATATTATTAAATACATTCTGTAAAACATTTTGTGTAATACTCCTAATTTCGTTTGTAATTGCCTCTTGAAGTTCTTCAATCGTGTGTAACCGTTGAGCAAATACTGAATTTTTTAAAAAACCAAATAAATAATAGTCTAGGGGTGTAAGGTCAGGAGAACGTGGTGGCCATCTATCTCGACTAATTATTCGATCATCATAATACTCTCTAATCAACTCTAAAGTTTCGTTAGAGGTGTGAGCTGTTGCGCCATCTTGCTGAAAGTATCCATGATGGATTTCATCGTCGTGAAGTTCCTCAAAAAATGGTAACAATATTTGCTGCCGATATACCTGCCCAGTTACATTTTCACGGAAAAAATATGGTCCGATTATTCTTCTACGTGACATAGCTACCCAAACACCAAGTTTAATAGGGTGCAGAGTTGTTTCACGCAAAATATTAGGGTTTTCTGTGTTCCAAGAGCGATAATTTTGGGAGTTTACGTACCCACTTAAATGAAACCACGCTTCATCAGAAAAAAATGTTAGATCTAGAATATCGTCGTCATTCAGATTTTCGTTAAACCAATTACAGTATTGCACACGTTTTCCAAAATCTAACGGAAGTAGTTCCTGCACAACACTAACTTTATAAGGATGAAAATGCAACTTCTTTACTGCTTTATGGCATGATCCATATGATATTCCTATAAACAATTTAGGAATAATGATACAAATTTTAGAATAAATATTTGTTATTAAGTACCTGTTTGAGCAGATAACCGACGTAGTGATTTGGTTGGACTAGCTCGTAAGCGGTTTTCAACATCTTCCAAGACTTCCTCTGTAAGAATAGACTTTCTGCCTGGAGATTTTCCTCTACAAACACTTCCAGTGTTATGGAAGCGTTCCACTAATCTCTTCACGTGTCTCGAAAAAATTTCATAATCAATTTCATCATTTGGAAATTGTTCTTGAAATTGTAAATGACACGAATTCATCGAATATTTCCAACCATTACCATTGTTTTGTCCACTACGAAAATAGGCCTCCAGAAGAAATTTATCATGTTCTAATGAAAATGCCATGTTAACCTAAATTAAAAAACCGATTAGGTTAGAGAACAACATACGCAATAAATTAATTACTCACGTATAATATCCACCTACTCTAACTGTAGTATTGAAAAATACTGTTTTATAATGTCGCAAAATATATCAGGTAACAACAAAATCTACAAAATAATATTCAAGCCAAAAAATCCGTGCGCCAATGAACAGAACGTCAAATTGTGAAATCGCCACAGAACACCATGAAATTGCACGGAAAAAAAAGTAATTTTAGCAAACGGAAATCAGTTTTGATAGCAATTGAGACAGGGTACGTTCAGAATCCGGTCAATCATTCTCGATCTCTCTGTATATAGGTAGTGTGTGTGACTTTTGGTTAAGAAAAAATAATTTCATGGCCACGGATTTGCGGCAAGGGTTTATTTAGTTATTACTTTCTTTTATTGGGAAGTACAAAATACCCAAATGTTTCGAGAACACTAATTATAAACCTTAAAAAATATAACTATTGTATCTATTTAAATTGTAACCGCGTACCCATTTAGGAATATTTATTTAGCACTGGATATTCAAATAACGTTAACATACGAATAAATGCAAACACAAGTTTATAATGTATCTTTGCAAATCTATATTCCAAGAAGTCATCCAAATACAATAACAATAATAATGTCGTACCATTAATAATTATAACCTTTTCATGCCATTTTAATGTATGTCTTATATAAGAATTTTGGAGTGGACTATGATTGCTGGTCGTTGTTATTTAATCATATTCATTATTAGACAGATTAAAAAACAATAGCTATTTAATTTGTTTGCCAAGAATAAAATGTCGTATCGTGTAAGGGGATCCTTAGAAAAAAAATAAGGGTTCCAGATTAAGATAAATCTGGATCGATAGATAGGTAACACTAAATGTTCTCATAAAATGATTTTTGTCTCACCAAAAATCTCACACCGAAGAAGCAAATAAAAACATTTCTGTATTACTTCTTGTAAAAATAGTGTTTTAAAAATTAATTTATTTTAACTTTCAAAATTGCTGTTTGCGTTGAAGTAAATGTTACAGTTTAAATTTAAATTTGAACAGGATCGTCAGTTTTGAAAACAAAAACAGAATAATTTTCGAAACATAAACTATATGAGGATAGGACCTTTAGCGCTATTCTTGCTATATATACAGGGTTCTTTACGGTAAGTGGCCTCTATTAGACGTTTCAGAGGAACCAAAGACAATATGACAGAAATTTTGTTTACGAGGGTTATCAGATATGTTCTCTTCATTGAAAATAATGCCATCAACGTAGCACTTCCAATTATACCGGAAATAGCTGTCAACTTCGTTATTTTAAATGAAACACCCTATATATTATTGCATTATCAATAAGATAAATTAAAAATAAGTCAAAGATGTTTTCTTGTACCTAAATCTAACCGTTTTCGAGGTAATCGTCATTTTACAAATTTGACAGATGCAAGCGTTTCGAAAATTCCTTATATCTTTCTTCGTTCTGGGAACTTTCACTTGCTTTTCGGAATACACAAAGAACATAAGGTGCACTACCTTCCGCTATCAAAATTACCTGAAGAAAATTATACTAAGTGTCTCATTTTTCATGTTACATTTTGAAAACTTAAAACCGACAAAACTTTTTAAATTCAAATGGAACACTTTGTATTTTTCTACATCATATTATTATAGAAAGGTTTAATATAGTTTATTATAGTTTGGTGTGACTTTTTTAGTACCGGGGTGATTTATAAGGGTTGAAAAGTGTTACGAGATGAGATACAAATTGTTTCATAAGCATTGAGGGAATTTTTATTTTAAATAATTGCACCGTTAAAGCATTCCAGGCTTTTAAAAAGTAATTTTTTATCATTTTTATCAATACGGGGGTGTTTTTTAGGGGTTGAAAGGGAAAAATTATTTTATTAGCTATAAGGTAACTTTTATTTTAAATAATTGCAAGATTTAATCTTCCAAATCTTTAAAACGTAATTTTTTATCATTATTTTTTGCATAGAGGTATTTTTTAAGGGTTAAATAAAGGGTAGAAAAGATCAAATATATCATAAAACATGTTCGAGAACATGGAACATTACTTAATCTTTATGCTTGAACAATATTTTTATCAATAAAATGCTTAAACTTAATTTTTTAAATTTTTTTCACTTAGGGGTAGTTTTTATCACTAAAAAATAAAAAGCGTCAATCGGGCTTATGTCACTTTTGAACTTGAGCCTAAGATGAGCCTTATTCTATATTTTCATGCAAATCCATGCAGTTTCAAAGAATTCGGAGGTTACAGCTGATTTTCAGCTTCAATGGCTGTACTATACCTAAGATGACTTACAAATATGACAACCAGTGGTCAGTACCACTAAGAATTTTCATGGAAATTAGTATTCTACAAATTAGTTTAGTGGTTTTTATTTAAAAAGGAATTTCTAAAAAAGATCACTTACATTTTATTAGAAAAATGAGTCGTTTTAGAGTCCTAACTTCTTTTATATTAGAGTGAGCTTATGTAAATTTAAATAACTATAACTATTCATTTCACAAAAACAGTTTATAAGACTTTTTTGTTGGAACTACAATTTTAAATACAGATGTGTCAAAAGAATAATTTAAAAAGCAACATTTTGATAAATTTTTCTCACAAAAGTTGTTTCATTAATTTTTAAAATTATTTTTACAGGTGGCAGAATAGCACAAATTAGAAAAAAAACTTACCTGCTTCATCAATTCTCTTGACAGGTGCAACTGTAGTCGTCAAACTGTTGAGGAATGGATTTCCAGCGTATATCTTGGACGGGTCCTTCGGCATTTGGGGGTTAAAGTTGATATTCATCACTGGATTGTTGGTGGATTTCGTGGGAGGGGGGTTGAAATTGAACTGGTTATTGCCGGAGTTTGTTCCGCGCTTGGGGTTACCGCTTAGTCTAGTATCGGGAGGGTTATCTTTAGTCGGACGGTCGAAGTTGTTTGGAGAACCCTGTGAGCTGTCAGATGAGGATATAAGGGGTTGAACGTCGACTTGGAGGGTGTGTTGGAGGTTTATGGTTGTGTGAACTGGCACTAATCGCACTAAAAAAAAGAATATATAAATAGTATAAATAATATCGCAGAAGGCAATGGGTTAAATAAACAATGTTACCTAATAAGAACATAATATTAACTTGAGTTATTTATTTATTTTTTTTATTATTAAAAATTTTATTCGGGCAATGGTGAGAGGAAAATATGGGGCATAAAAAAATGTATTTTGGCTCTAGATGGCACACTTTAATTATGTAGATAAACACTTTTAAGGCAAAAAGAAGTCTTAGAGATTTATTATTAAAAAAGTTACTAGGTCTTTTCACATGATGTAAACATATATTTATGAAATTTGCTGTTTCGTGTCTCTGTAACGGCAGCCAGTGTCACCCTGTACAATGCGTTTCTAAAATATAGCGCCAAACTGAATGTGGTGACAAAAATTTTGTTTATCATAAACAAAAGTTTTCTATAAATGTGGGTCTAAAAATACTCAATTAAAAAATTACATGATAATAAAACTGAGCAGTCTGGAATATTTTTAAGTAACTCTAAAACTGCTCATAATATAATATTCAAGTATCTAAAACTTGGTACACAATTTTTTTCTTGAACGATTTTCCGTAAGAGTATTCTATAATGTAATTAATTTTGATGGAGGAGAATTTCAAAACGCGCGTAAAGATGCTCTTATTCAATTTCCATAATTCGAACCACTTCTGAGAAAATTATCAATAAACAATTTTTTGCATTGTTATGACTCCGAAAAATGCCTTCAAACACTACAAAGACTAAATTTTAAAAAATGGTCAGTTTTCTCGAAAGCAGGGCAGATTATCCATATCGGAAAAGTGTAATTTTTGTATCCCTTAAGATGCTCCTGTTAAAAAATTATTTTACTGGGTACACACGAATCAAGATTACTTTTTTTAATAGAAAATCCCTAATTACCACCACTGTGAATGGAGAAAATACTATTCGTCTATGAAATTACCGAAATTGGAAACCTAAAGATCATAAATAAGATAGTCATGTACAAAAAAGTGTGTTTTTGGCAAAACTATTTGCCCTGCAACTTTTTTATAAGCGATTTCAGATAGATTACATAGCAAATTTTCTTTACTTCTTTTGACCACCTAACTTTTTTATGTCTACCCTAATGTTTTACGCTGGTCCATAAAAATATTCATATACTTTTTAACAGAGCATGATTTAAATATAACTCAAAATCGGTAGAAATTTCGATTTTTTTGTTAAAATGTTTAACATTTTAATAGACGTGTTAATAGGGTCAAAATAAAAACTTTAGCTATTCTTTCAGATTTTTTTCTAAAATGCCTCCTTATTAATGCCTCCTTAATTTTGAGCATTAAAATGTCTATAACACTCCTTAAAAATGTATTTTAGAGAAAAAAAGAACAAGAATAAAAAGTTTTTATTTTGTCTCTATTAAGACGCCTGTTATTATCGTACCCCTCTTTTAGCGTTACTGAATGTGCTATAGGAATAGCTATAAAAAAGGGGTACGATAATATAATTAGTAAAATGGCATGTACTGTAAATTCTACAATAGTCCATCCAAATTACACTTGGAGAAAAAAAAAATTGTTACCTGGACTTTTTTAACTGGAAATGGTAAAAGGGCTTATAATAAATCTAACAAAAATAAATGAGCAGGGGTGGCGGAGGGTTGATTTGGGGGGTTGAAAAGTTATGAAAAATTGTATCATTGGGATTTCTGGCGAAAGTTGAGGTCAAACAAAAAAGTATCTACAAAAGTTGTAGATCATGTAAAAATCTACAACTTTTGTAGAGATCACTTTTTAACATAACGTCAAAAGTTCCAAGAAAAATGCGAAAAACCGTTTTTTTCTGATTTTTCGTTTTTTATTTCTTATTTCCGCAAAAATTATTTAATTTTGACGAAACTTGGCGAAAGTATACGTTTCTCTGTCTTAAATAACTTCAATTTTTTTAGATAAAAAAATCAAGAAGAAAAATTCATTGCTGCAAGTAATTTTTTACTTTTTTTGCCTTTTTGAGCATGTTTTTGAGCTGTGATTACAATTTTTTTTATTTCACCAAAACCTATATGTCAAAACGAAAAAAATGATTACCGCCGGCAAAACTCTGAACGATAATTTTTTTAAGTAGAATTTTTCTTTGAAAGAAAAATGTTTCAGGCCGAAAAAAATGAATATCTCAGAAACTTCTTAATTTTTTTATCTAAAAAAAATTGAGGTTATTTAAGACAGAGAAAGGGATACTTTCACCAAGTTTCGTCAAAATTAAATTATTTTTGCGGAAATTAGAAATAAAAAATAAAAAATCAGAAAAAAACCTGTTTTTCGCATTTTTTTTATTTGACGTCAACTTTCGCCAGAAATCCCAATGATACAATTTTTCATAACTTTTCAACCCCCCAAATCAACCCTCCGCCGCCCCTGCTCACGCATTTATTTTTTTTTTCGTTTATTATAAGCCCCTTTACCATTTCCACTTATAAAAGTCCAGGTAACAATTTCTTTTTTTCCCTCTAAATGAGTTATTTTGATCGGTCTACAACTAACATAAGCTGATGCAACAAACAGTAAACTAATAAAAGAGAATATATCATGAGCCCTAACCCAACTATGTAACTTAAGGAAAAAAACAGCAAACGAATATTTGAATTTCGTTACTACTGATTTTCAGCTATTTCTTGAGGTTAAGGAAAAAATTCTGATGTGATGGAGTATTTATGATGGCTCCATCGTCTTAAGCCACATTCTGTTAAAAAGTGCCTATAGTATATGAAATTCTTTTTTTTGTGCCTGTGTTATCGAATTTAACATTTCTAATTTGTTTTCTACAAAAAAATTTTGTTTCGCTGTTAAGATTTCACCACTCTGTATCTTAAAAACTATTGAGCTTTTGAACATATGTTTATACAAAAAAAAATATTTTGACTAACTTGTAAAAAGTTTCAAATAACTTGTAAATAGGCTCTATTATTTAATTATAATCTGTAATTATAATGAAATTGATAATAAAATCGGCCTTTTTCGTCGTCAGACACTTCCGAAGCTTTTAGACTGAAACAGAAACTTCATAAATTTAAAATATTAAGTCCGTATGAAAATAATATTCAGTTTTATAAATTGATGAAATTTAAGATAATAGGTTTTAAGACGCGTTGATGCTACAAAGCCAGATTTTTTTATAAAATATTATCTAGTGATTTTCTGAAAAATTACTAAGCAAAATGCCATGGATACAAAAAGTTCGTAATTGGTTCAGCAAGTACATCTAGAAAATTCACTCGAATCATGAGTTTCAAACGATTTTTGGAGGGGTGTCCTGGTTGTACCACACTGTAAGTATATAAAATAAATACATAAAGACCCTTCCAATTTTTTAGCTCACAAAGTATATAGATGTCATGAATTTTGAACTAAAGTATGCTCAGGTTCTTAATGGACCACAATCTATATTCCAAAAACTGAAATAAAACTTACTTGATATTTTTGGTCCTCTACAAATTAAGTCGCCATTAACTAAAATTTTAGTTATTTTCGGAGGAATGTTGCTCCAAACAGGAAAGTATACCTTGTACGAAATCGGCCTGCGGTGCATGACGTCATCAATCACTTTTTCTTTGGAATGCAGCAGCTGTATGTTGCCATTATAACCCTGAAATTGAAAAAATGCATAGTAATACGACAATATTTGTAAAAGTATTTAAAATTAGAGAAACATTATCAATAAAATTAATTGCCCTGTATATAGAACAATCACATTATTCTCCCTGTATTTTATAAACAACAGTTAAGAGTTTTTAAAATTATAAAAACAAACAACACCGCACAACAGACAGTTTCAAAATATATTTTGATTGCCAAAAAAATAAATAATACTTATACCTTCTTACGAAACTTCGTAAATAATATAGACGTATTAGTAATTCAAGCACATACTTGACAATACGGTAGAAGGTCAATATTTACGTTGGCAAATAAATGAATGAACGGTGTTTTTGTTTACAATATAATGTACAAAAATCATTTAATCCACGATCATCTGGAAAAGTAAACAGTTCTAGAAAAGTAATAGAAATTTTCATAATACGTTGATATTAAACTGAGTTTGTTTGTTATTTATCAAGAAAAAAATCAGTAAAATGGAGCATCATTTTATTTAAATTTAGAAAGAAATATATGTAATTATTTTCCTATAGGTATTTAGCGAATATTTTAAAAATATTTAACTGAATAATTTTGTGTTGTAAAACTGTTATAGTGTTTTCCATACGACATTTTTTTCTGTTCATATTTTTAATTATTTTTTCCCAATGAAAATACGTCAATAATGACGGCTAAAAATTAATAAAAGCAAAAAATTGGCACCCAAAGACGTCTTAGGAACATAAACTATAATGATGACCTAGTGATAATTTTAATTTCAATTCACCGCTGAACAATGTTCAAGGCTGATCTCAGACATGCCAGTTCATCGTAAGAGTTTATTAATTTGAAATATTTTTATTTATAAATAACTGCGAATAATACATTTGGCATGTCATTTCTATCCTAAAAATAAAAGTAGAATAATAATGTAAACATTTGTATTCCTCTCTATTTTCCGTTCTCAATGGGAGGTACCTATCGATTTTGATTAATATCAGTCCTGTCAAGAGTATAACGAACTTGGAATGATTATATTTTAGTTTTTTTTTATTATTGTGTCGTGTATACCAGAATCCTGTTGTACTTCGCAAAATTTTAAATTTGACCAGTCAGCGCCGTATTACTTCAACTTTTCCTAAAATTTTATAGCAATAAAACTAACTCCAACTTTTTGGATGAATTAAAAATAATATAATTGCACTAAAACCTCATATCGGACACAAGTACAAATATAATCATTAAGTTAAATGATTGAGTAAAATGAAAAAAAAAACCTAACGATATAGATTATAAAGAAGCCGTTATCAAAATTGTGTGGAATAACACAGCAAAACAACTACAACGATTATATTGCGAAACTTATAGGATTCTATTGATCCATTCAAGTATACAAGGTGTTGCATGAGTTACTGAACAAACTAAAGGAACAGGTACCCGAGATCATGCTGAGTAAAAAAGTTATAATATACATGGGATCAATTCTCCATGGTTACCGAGTTATGGTTCTTTAAAGNTAAAAAATTGCATAATTCTATAATACTATGAAGAAATAATCGTTTCTTTGTAAAAGTCCAAAAAACCTTCATATTTAGAAATTAATTTCTCACGAATTATTTACCTATCCCAATTAATTTTTGCTTTACTGTCTTCATTTATACTTTGCCAAATGTGATATGAAATTTTACTACTTTCTTCCATTGCTTTAAAAAGATATATTGGAATAAAAAAAGGGCTGTTTTCTACCATTTTTCGGTATAATTTAGGCAACCAGAGATGCATCAGTTTCCATCCTTAACTGAAATATACTACCGCCGCTACAATGTACGCGGAGACGCATTTAGGAAACTTAACAGCAGCCAATCGACGCTACACATATTAAATTAATCGAACGTAAACAAAACAGTAACAACATGTGAACAGTTTAAATTTAAGCAGAATCCGATCCTGTTCCGAATGCTTACGAAAGGCAACAGAAGTTAATTATTTTCTCTTAAATTCTGAGATTGACCTCCGTTGTTGAGGTCACGCTAGGCTTGTCCAGTGGTAGGGCATGAAAATTACTAAAAAAGGTAAAATAAATTCAGTTTTTATGATGGAATTTGAGAAAACAAACTTATGATACTTGTTTCTAAGGGTCACAGTTAACATACTGCAAAAAATTTTGTTTTTGTGTTTTTCATACTCAAAAACATACTTTAATGTATACAGTTTGTTCGGCAGTATTGAACTGAAACAACCTGTATAGCGTGCGTTTTAATCTGGAAAGACCTAGCAAGAAAAGGATTCAATTACATTAATTCGACATATTAAAACCACAAATTTTTATTACATTTAAATAAAACAACATTTAGCGACGACAACGTGNTACCAGAATCCTGTTGTACTTCGCAAAATTTTAAATTTGACCAGTCAGCGCCGTATTACTTCAACTTTTCCTAAAATTTTATAGCAATAAAACTAACTCCAACTTTTTGGATGAATTAAAAATAATATAATTGCACTAAAACCTCATATCGGACACAAGTACAAATATAATCATTAAGTTAAATGATTGATTAAAATGAAAAAAAATCTAACGATATAGATTATAAAGAAGCCGTTATCAAAATTGTGTGGAATAACACAGCAAAACAACTACAATAATTATACAGGGTGCCCCGAAATTCATGCAACAAAATTTGGTCACAGATTATTAAGACAAATTTAGGGGACTCGTATTTTTTCTTTTTGCCAACTGGTCCGCTCTTTCGGAGTTACAGCCCCCTGAAATCTGCCCCTAAGAAGTCTTTTATATTTCAAAACCATGTTGTACGAGAATCACTAATTTGGTACACAGAGGTTTTATTCATTCAATCACATTTTAACATTTTTCTCGAAAACATTACGTTTTACGAAAAAAGTATAAAGAGACAAAAAGTTTCTAAATTTAATAGCTTTCTAGTGGACCGATAATTTTTAAGAAATTTAATATGCGACCAAATTTTTTTGGCTCCACTCCAAAGACAAGGGGCATACGAAAAATTGTCTTAAGGGGCACCGCCAAAAAACGTAGCACCATCAGATTCCACATGTCATAAAACTTCTGTGTACCGAATTTAGCGGTTCTTGTACAACAGGGTTCTGAGATATAAAAAAAAGATTATTCTTAGGGGCGGACTTCAGCGGGCTGTAACTCCGAAAGAGGGGGCCACTTGGCAAAAATAAAAATACGGGTCCCCTTTTGTCTTAAGAATCTGCGACCAAATTTTGTTGCATTAATTTCGGGACACCCTGTATTGCGAAACTTATAGCATTCTATTGATCCATTCAAGTATACAAGGTGTTGCATGAGTTACTGGACAAACTAAAGGAACAGGTACCCGAGATCATGCTGAGTAAAAAAGTTATAATATACATGGGATCAATTCTCCATGGTTACCGAGTTATGGTATTTTAAAGTTTAGAAATAAGTACTTAATACATGTACACAGATTTTAAACTTGTGTTATGTTTGATTGTTTGGAACAACAATAACAAAATGACAACAAAACAAAAATAACATATTTATTTACGTCGTTCAAAATGTTCTCCTTCAGCACTAATATACTGTAGAGCACGACCAAGAATATATTGAGTGGCTGCTCTCAAAATCCCAGGATTATTCGTCATTTGCTGACATTTATCAATAATTATCTGCCTAAGCTCCTCTGTACTATTAATTGGTATCTCGAAGACTAAGCTCTTAAGATCGCCCCATAAGTAATAGTCTAAAGCATTGAGATCTGTTGATCTTTGTAGCCAAGAATGTGGTCCTCCACGTCCGATCCACCTATTAATATAGCTTTCATTAAGATACGCTCCTACTCGACTAAAATGAGCAGGCGCTCCATTATGTTGTAATATCATTTGTTTTCTTATATAGGAATATCTTCCAATAGACCTGGTAATTCACTGCGTAAAAAGTTGGTGTAACTTCTGTAAGGCGCTCGTCAAAAAAGAAGGGTTCAATTAGTTGATCATCAATTATGTCACACCTAAGACTTTCATAGAAAATCGTTGTTGAAAAGTAGATACTTTTCTGAAATGAGGATTCTCATCAGACCATCTGTGGGAGTTGTGCATATTGTTCACTCCGTCTCGAAGAAACAGCGACTCATCGGTAAATAAAATACATCTTACTAATTGAGGATTTGCTGGAATCCATTGGCAAAAAGTGACAGTATCTGCAACAGCATGTTTCAGATGCTGAACTGGTTGTACATGATAAGGATACAATAGATTGCTATGAAATGTTCGCCATACTCTCCAATGAGGAATTTTCGTATGTGCTGAAATTCTCCTTGTACTGAATTCTCGACTGTCTGCAAAGTATTTTGCTCAATCAAGTTTTGCTGCTCGGTACGTTCATAGCTAGTTGACATTATTGCAAATGAACCATGCGTTCGCAGATGTCGAAACACAGAATCTCTCTGGAAATTGTCGTTGATACTCTCTAAGTGCATTTCTATCACAAAATCCATTAATGTAAACTATGTCGACATAATCTTCATTTGAAAACAGCACAAGCATATTGGCAAAAAAGGTGAAAATTTGACAGTACGATATGGATAGAATGTAGAGAGAGAGGTAAGGGGCCAATATGTAATGTGAGATAAAACTGGTCTCACGTCACGTAACTTCGGATATTTGTAAGCTTATCATACGGGATTTGTTATATCCATTACATGGTAGTGTTATTGCTTATTATACTTATATAAATCTATGCTAGAAACACGTTCATACAGTTTACTACATAAACTGACGTTTATAAATTGTTTTGCCAACTAACATGTTTATAGCTAGCGAGATTGACGAGATTGAATATTAAAACATTATTTCTAAACTTTATAGGTTCGTGGCTCAGTAACCATGGTGAATTGAACCCACATTATAACTTTATTATTCAGAATGACCTCAGGGACCTGTTGCTTAAGTTTGTCCAGTACATCATGCAACACCCTGTATTATTTTCCGTCGAGCAAGAGCTGC